ATTAAAGTTAAACATAACTTTACAGAGTTATTACTCACAAATAATTGGTTGCCCCAACTAGATGGCAAAATGGCACTTCACTTGTCCTGAGGCGCGTGACCTACACAAACACACATACAATTACCCACGTGAAACACACGCTCGAGTTATAAATAACTTACTTCGTTTGTTCTTAGTGCATGTTTAGCCATTAACCTCGTTATAGAGTTTTAATCATGGCCTAGGAATGCCTAAGATGGAAAGAGGATGTAGTAATGCACTTGAAAACATTTCTCAAATTTTGCTGAAAATGGGGTCCCCGCCCGAGCGTGGCTTTCCCTGCTCGAGCGGATATGCAAGACGTGAAGGCTCGCTCGAGCAGGAATTTACTCGCTCAAGCGGACTGCAAACATGACAAAAGTACTAGATACATGAATTTCACGCTTGACAGACGTCTGATCCCCGCTCGAGCGTGAGACTCAGGCTTATGCTCGAGCGTGAATTCCCCTGCTCGAGCAGACTGCAAAACATAAGAACTTCTAGGTATATGCATTTCACGCTCAAGCGTGAAACTAGTCGCTTGAGCGGAAGCGCATGTACTCAGAGTTCACGCTCGAGCGTGAAGTTTCCCACTCGAGCGTGAAGTTTCCCACTCGAGCGTGGATCAAATTTCTGGAATTTCCAGATTGATCTTCAAGCAAAAAACTCAACCTTTAAAGCTTCAAACTTGATTTTTCTGGGCCAAATTTTCTGAAAAACACTTAGGAACCCATAAAATAACTTGTTTAAAGGATCATAACAAGAAATCATGGCCCAAAAGCATGCCAATTGTGCAAAATTCAACTTGAAACAAGAAATCATGGCCCAAAAGCATGCCAATTGTGCAAAATTCAACTTGAAACACAAGATTAATACATGAACATAACATGCAGTTTAATTCAGAATTTCACCTTAATTACTAATTAGGCATAATCAATCATGGATTAACGTTAATCAGAGGTCGGGGTTGTTACAGTCTTCCCACCTTAAAAGAGTTTGGTCCTCCAAACTCGAATTACCTTCATTCTGGAACAACATTGGGTCTAATGGGAACAAATCCGGATATCTCTTCATCATGTCTTCTTCTGTTTCCCAGGTTGCATAGGTTCCTTCGTGGTTTTGCCAATCAAATTTTACCAACGGTATTTCTTTGTTTCTCAATCTTTTGATCCTGCGGTTCACAATCTGGATAGGTCTTTCCTCATAAGTGTAGTCATCCTTCAAGAGCACATGTGTTGGTTAAATGACATGGAGCGGATCTCTCAAATACTCTCGAAGCATCGATACATGAAAGACGTTATGCATATGCTCGAGGTAAGGCTACCCGATAGGTTACTGAATTGATCTTTTCAAGGATTTCATATGGTCCAACATATCTTGGCGCCAATTTGCCCTTAACACCAAACTGAGTTTGACCCTTCATCAGGGTCACCTTTATGAACACATGGTCCCCAACTTTATATTCCTTATCTCTTCTTCGGATATCAGCATAGCTCTTCTGCCGACTCTGTGCAGTTTGCAGACGCTGTTGGATTAGTTTCACCTTCTCGGTTGTTTCTTGCACAAGTTTCGGTCCCAACAAAGGTCTATCACCTATCTCAGCCCAGCATATCAGAGAATGGCATTTTCTTCCATACAAAGCTTCGTAAGGAGCCATTCCAATGCTTGAATGGTAACTGTTGTTGTACACAAATTCAGCTAATGGCAAATAGGTCTCCCAACTTCCTTGGAATTCTAATACCCACATTCTAAGCATATCTTCCAGAGTTTGATTGGTTCGTTCAGTTTGTCCATCTATCTGTGGGTGATAGGCACTACTCAACCTTAGTTCCGTCCCCAAAGATTGTTGTAAACTCTGCCAAAATCTCGACACAAAGTTTGAATCCCTATCAGATACAATAGATACTGGTACCCCATGTAATCTCACAATTTCATTCACATACATGTTAGCTAGCTTGTCTGCATTGTAAATAGTCTTGACAGACAGAAAATGGGCAGACTTAGTTAAACGGTCTCAAAATATGACAAATATAACCATAAATCATCTATTCATGCCATGCATGCTCAAATTAAACATATTTCCCCTTTCAATCCTCTTATTTAACATGAGATCATTGATGCATCAACCTTACTTCAAGAATTTAGAGGGAAATTCTTACCTTAATCACTTAATTGTAGAAGATTTAGCTTGACTCTCTTTTTCCTCCTCTTCTTCCCCTTTCTCACGAATTCTCTCTCTCTCTCTCCTTTCCAGATTTTTTTCTTCTCTTTTGTTTTTGAGTCAAAGAGTCAATAAAGACCCTTATACTTATCTATATATCATTTATAAACAATTGTGCCAAACTTTGAGCCAAACATGGCCTAACGAATCAGACGAAATTCAGTTCTCAATTTATTTTCCCAAATGGCTCTAAAAATTCCCGGTATCACATAGGCGTGCTCAATTTCGTTTCTGAACCCATTACGGTCATCAATTTCAGTCCCGAAGTCGTAATCTCAACAGGTATTTTCTAAGTTCAACAGATAATCTTCAATTAAATCATACTAACACATAATTAATTACTGGTAATCATCGTATACGGTTCTGGGTCGTTACAATACATCTTCGTATTCCCTGGATGCATAGCAAATTTAGTATTGTAGGCTTTAGACATAACACATTTTCTCAATTCATAACAATCAGGTACACAAAGACGATTTTGGAATTTCAGCACATCATTCTCAAACACAAATCCCGGCCTCGGCTTTGAATCAAATTCCTTTATGATCTTTTTCAAGTACTCATCTTCACATTGCTTCTGTTTGATTTCTTCAATAATTGTAGGTTGAGCAGAAATAGCAGCTAAAATCCTACCTTGCTCTCGCAAAACAATTTCAATCCTATTCTGTTCCAGATCATCTAACAACTCTTTTCAATTGGACAGCAAACATGACAAATTTGTTATGGATTTTCAGCTCAAGGCATCTGCCACAGTATTTGCCTTCCTCGGATGGTACAGAATCTGTAGATCATAGTCTTTAGTCAATTCTAGCCGCCTTCTTTGTCTCATGTTCAGTTCCTTTTGGGCAAAGAAATATTTGAGGCTCTTATGATCTGTATACACTTCACAGGTTACCCCATACAAGTAGTGACGCCAGATTTTCAAAGCAAACACCACTGCTGCCAATTCAAGATCATGTGTCGGGTAATTCTTTTCATGAGGTCAGAGTTGTCGAGAAGCATAGGCAATCACCTTCCCATTTTGCATTAACACACAGCCCAAACCTTTGTAGGAAGCATCACTGTAAATTTGAAACCAATCAGTACCATTGGGCAATGTTAAAATTGGTGTAGTCACTAACCTGGTTTTCAACTCTTGAAAGGTTGCCTCTCTTTGTTCGTTTCAATCAAATGACACATTTTTTTGGGTTAACTGGGTCAATGGCATGGCAAGTTTAGAAAAGTCCCTCACAAATCTCCTGTAGTAACCTGCAAGTCCTAGAAAACTTCTAACTTCTGTCACGTTCGTCGGTTTAGGCCAGTTCACGATAGCTTCAATCTTCTGAGGGTCAACAGAGACACCGTCTATATTGATTACATGCCCCAAGAATGCTACACTGTCAAGCCAGAATTCACATTTGGACAATTTAGCATACAATCTGTTTTCTCTCAAAATCTGCAAGGTAGTTCTCAGATGGTTCTCATGTTCTTCCCTGTTGTTGGAATAGATCAATATGTCATCAATAAACACAATAATGAATTCATCGAGATAGTGTTTGAAAACCCTATTCATTAGGTCCATAAAAGCTGCAGGTGCATTTGTTACTCCAAAAGGCATTACCAAAAATTCATAATGTCCATATCTAGTTCTGAATGTAATTTTCTCTACGTCTTCTGCTTTAACCTTTAACTGATGATAACCGGACCTAAGATCAATTTTAGAGAACACTTTGGCTCCTTGGAGTTGATCAAACAAATCATCTATTCGAGGTAATGGGTATTTGTTCTTAACGGTAACTTTGTTCAATTCTCGGTAGTCAATCCATAGCCTCAAAGACCCGTCTTTCTTTTTGACAAATAACACCAGAGCACCCCAAGGTGAAGTACTTGAGCGAATGAATTTCTTGTCTAGGAGTTCTTGAAGTTGGACTTTTAGTTCCTTCAATTCCGAAGTCGACATCCTATACGGAGTCTTGGAGATGGGTTGTGTTTCAGGTATTACATCAATGGTAAACTCAATTTCCCTATCAACTAAATCCCCGGGTAGATCATTAGGAAACACATCAGGAAAGTCACAAACTATAGGAATAGTTTCATTACTGGCACTATCCGAAGGCATAGTCAACACGCTACACAAATAGCCCCGACACCCTTTTCTTAACAGCCTTTTGGCTTTCATAAAGGAAATCAAGTATGGCGGAGGGACTACCCCATTTCCTGTGAAAGTAAACTCAGGCATACCGAGTGGATGAAATATGACAGATTTATTCACACAATCAATGGCGGCATAGCATTTAGTTAACCAATCCATACCCAGAATACAATCAAAATAATTGATGTTCAAGGGTACTAAATCAACATACAATGTCGTTTCGCCAAACATAAGATCACATGCTGGATATACATAGGCACATATCATGGAACCCCCAGATGGTGTAGTCGCAGATAACACACAATTCATAGGTTCTAATGGTCTTGTTAATTTTCGAGAAAAAGCATGCGATACGAATGGATGTGTAGAACCGGAATCAATCAGTACATATGCGTTGTGAGTACAAATAGAAATGATACCTGACACTACTGATTTAGTGTTTTGTACATCGCCAGGCACTAAGGCGAATACTCTCCCTTGTCTCAGTGTTTCATTCCCATTGTTACCCCTGGCGTTAGTTCTGACGTTTGATTTGGCCACTGAAACAGACCCAGCTAAACTTGCTGCAGGGCGACTGACATTGCCGGATCCTACTGGACAGTCTTTCATCATATGGCCCACTTTGCCACACTAGTAACAGGCACCTGACGCACGATGGCATACTCCCATATGTCTCCTGCCACAATCTGCACAAATCGGTATAGACCCACTACTCTGGCTAGAACTACCAAAGGATCCCGTGTTTCGCTTCTTCGAAAATGATCGGGCCCGTCTAAAATTAAACCCGGTCCTCTTGCCTTTCCATTGAGTTAGTGGATTTGTAGTTTGTTTCTTTGCTGCTATCGTAGCTTCTGCCATTAATGCTCTGTCAAGCACCTCCACATAGGTAGGCAGTTTCAGGACACCCACTCGATCAAATATCTCCAGGTCCAGTCCTCCCTCAAACTTTCGTGCTTTCTTGTAATTAGTGTCTACCATGTGTGGAGCAAAACGAGCTAGTTCAGTAAACTTAGCTTCATATTCGGCCACAGACGTTCTGCCTTGTTTGAGTTCTTGGAATTCTAAAACTTTTCGGTCCCTGAAACATTGGGAAAAGTACTTGTTGTAGAACATCTCGTTGAATTGTGCCCACGTCATGTCCCCATTGTTATTTCGAATCAATAGCCACCATCTCTGGGCTTCATCCTTTAAGGTATAAGTGGCCAAAAGGACTTTCTGAGTTGCAGAGCAAGGAAACACTTCGAATAGCTTTTCCATTTCTAATAACCAGGTTTCTGCCTTCAATGGTTCGATACCACCCAAGAAGGTCGGCAACTTCATTTTCATAAATTTCTGGGTCAAGTTAATGATGTCATTGTTGTCCTGTTCGGCTAGCACCGATGGAGGCGAAGGAGGTAAAGGTTGTTGTCTTTGTTGTTGTGTCATAGCTTCTGTTACTGCTGCAAGCATTTGTTCCGTTCGGCTCATGCGAGCCTCTGAGGATTCACTTATATCATTTCCCCTCGCATTCTCCATGTTGCTATAAAGACACCAGATAATAATAAACATAGGAATATTCTAATTTGCTTCTTTCAATTCATTTACTCAGATTCACATTTAGATCACTCATCCATTTAGATTACCACACACTCACACATGCAGATGGAATGTCCCAAATTCTTACTAGGACATCCTAAGCTCATATGGACTTGTGTGTGCGGTAGAGCACGTGCTCTGATACCACTCTGTCACGACCCAAACCCGCCCCTAAGGGTTTAGCATCGTAACCGGCCAGTAATCCTTGGATTACCGAAGGTCTCTGAACAGAATAATATATATAACAGGGGCTGCGGAAGCAATTATACAAATTTACATAGTCCATAGAGCTATGCAGACATATATGGGACAGAATATTTGAAACTTTTCCTTTACATAATTGCAAACAAACAGACAAGGCATTAAACTACAGTAGCCTCATATCAACCAAGCCACATATATACAAGATTACTACGTGTTCAAGCTAGACATAGACATTCAGAATGCAAAAGTCCCAAAGACAATTAACCCGGGTAGAACTCAAAAGGGAACCTCCACGGGAGGCGTGATAGCTGGCTGACACCAAAACTCGCTAAGCGACACCTCAGGCCGGGTCACACACTTGCCCACCTACATACATATAAATAATACAGTGAGCTAGAGCCCAGTGAATAACGACAAAGTAAAGACTTTAATGAATAATGCCCATAACATATTTCAAATCTCGTAACAGAACAGAATCATAATTATAACCCTTAGCACAAGCATGTCTCTTGGGTCAAGCTTATCCAGTTCCATGAAGGAACCTCCGGTACTGGGTAATATATCTCATACATAGGCCACGATATTGTTTCCCCCGGGCGAGGGCCTGTGCTACGGTATTAACCCCCGGGCTAGGGCCTCATGACCATAAGCCACAGTATTATGTCCCCTGGGCGAGGGCCTCTGCCAAGGATACCACAATTATGTTCAAAGAAAGTCTGGACAATCATTTATTCATACAAAACATCGCATTTCAGGGAACTTGTCATTTCATATCATCAGAAAATAATTAAAGTTAAACATAACTTTACAGAGTTATTACTCACAAACAATTGGTTGCCCCAACTAGATGGCAAAATGGCACTTCACTTGTCCTGAGGCGCGTGACCTACACGAACACACATACAATTACCCACTTGAAACACACATTCGAATTATACATAACTTACTTCATTTGTTCTTAGTGCGTGTTTAGCCATTAACCTCGTTATGGAGTTTTAATCATGGCCTAGGAATGCCTAGAATGGAAAGAGGATGCAGTAATGCACTCGAAAACATTTCTCAAATTTTGCTGAAAATGAGGTCCCCGCTCGAGCGTGGCTTTCCTCGCTCGAGCGGATATGCAAGACGTGAAGGCTCGCTCGAGCGGAAATTTACTCGCTCAAGCGGACTGCAAACATGACAAAGGCACTGGATGCATGAATTTCACGCTCGACGGACATTCGATCCCCACTCGAGCGTGAGACTCAAACTTACGCTCGAGCATGAATTCCCCCGCTCGAGCGGACTACAAAACATAAGAACTTCTGGGTATATGCATTTCACGCTCGAGCGTGAAACTAGTCGCTCGAGCGGAAGCACATGTACTCAGAGTTCACGCTCGAGCGTGAAGTTCTCCGCTCGAGCGTGGATCAAATTTCTGGAATTTCCAGATTGATCTTCAAGCACAAAACTCAACCTTTAAAGCTTCAAACTTGATTTTTCTGGGCCAAATTTTCCGAAAAACACTTAGAAACCCATAATATAACTTGTTTAAAGGATCATAGCAACAAATCATGGCCCAAAAACATGCCCATTGTGCAAAATTCAACTTGAAACACAAGATCAATCCATGAACATAACATGCAGTTTAATTTAGAATTTCACCGTAATTACTAATTAGGCATAATCAATCATGGATTAACGTTAATCAGAGGTCGGGGTTGTTACACCTACCAAAAGAAAACGAATTTGAGGTAAATCCAAAATCGCAAAACTAGGGTTTATGTTTTGGTTTCAATTTCTGTACAAATTCATCGATTGTGACTGTTTGGGTTTGGATTTCGCCTTCAATTTGTGTTAGGGTTGCCTTTAGGTTTTAGAACATGTTTTTGGGGCTTATGAATCTATGATTGTTAGGGTTATGATTGTTAAGGTTTGGGCATTATGGGTTTTGCCTTCAATTTATGATTGTTATTTTGATTTTGATTTTAAACAAATATTCTAACTTCTGAAATTTGTGCATTTGAAATCTGGAAATCTGTTGATGAAATATGTTCTTTATCAATTATTCTAACTTAGTTAAATCTATTCTTTGAAATCTGGGTTTTGCTTTAAATTCATAAGTTCATAAATTTGTTAATAAGCTCATAAATCTATTTTAGGTTTTGCTTTAAATTTATGGTTGTTATTTTGCTTTAAATCTAAAATTTGGGTTTTGCTTTCAATTCATAAGTTCATAAATCTGTTAATAAGTTCAAAGTAGTTGTTTTAGGTTTTGCTTTAAATTTATGATTGTTATTTTGATTATAAAACAATATTGTTATTGACGACAAACTAAAAATTTAGTTACAAAGCTTAACAATTTAGAATAAACTCAAATTACTTAATCTTTTTACATTTGTGGTTGTTTTCTGCTCCTACTTATCTGATTCATTTTATTTTTCTTAAGTTTCCTTAACAATTATTGATTAAAATAAAATCTTGCTGAATTTACAGGTAGTTTATAATATTCCAACTAAGTGATCTATATTAGCTTAGATTCATCATCACATTATACATCAGTATGAGGCTTTTGAAATTCTGCTCTATGGGATAGAATAACCCAAAAGCTTCAGATTCAAAAAGAGACATAACTTACTCTTTTTAGGGACTTTGTGGGAAGCATTTAAACCAAATAATAAGTTTGAAAGAAATCAATGTATATGTTAAAAGGGAAGCAGAATTTGTAGTGTTCATTGTCAAAAATACAACAATGAATTTGTGATATGGAAGAAAACATGATGATGAGAAACTTGGCCAGCCCAAATTTTTCACGTATATATTTTATGTTCCTACTTATCTAATTCGTTTTATTTTTCTTCCAATGTAGTGTTAAGCTTTATCCCTATGGAAGTGAAATTTAGTTAGAAAGCTTAACAATTTAGACTAAACTAAAATTACCCAATCTTTCTAGTTGGATTTGTCTCACTGTTGAACATACAAATAATCAGGAAGAAATTAAAATGGCTTTCATATTTTGTATGTAGATTAAAAAATGGCTTCTTCTACTATTAACAATAGCAACATAAGATTAAAACCAAGATTGTGTATTTGTGGGAGAACAACTGCCATGTATATTGTACAAACCAATGAGAATAGAAATCAAGGGCGTTTGTTTTTTGTTTGCCCATCAAAATATGTAAATATCTATTATAGAAATTAATCTTCTAGTGTTTAGAAATTTACTTGTGTGATTTGATTAACTAATTGTTGTGCATTGTAGAGTAATAAGGAACACTGTAATTACTTCAAGTTCGCAGACGATGATGATGACGACGTTACCTCCACAATTCATTCCAATGCTGGACCTCGGAAAGTTATAAGAACAGAAGAATTTAACAATTTAAGGACAAGGTTTTGTGAGATGGACAATGAAATTCATAAGTATGGCAGAATGCTTAAAAGGATGGAGAAGAATTTCAAGGCAATGATTTATGTCATTGTATTTTGTGTCTTTTTGTACTTTATCATATAAATGACTGACTTGTTAGGTTTTAGCGAATTTCATGAATGTAATCAAATACTTGTTTTGTATTTTGTGTCTTCTTGTACTTTATCATGTAAATGACTGACTTGTTAGGTTTTCGGGAATTTCATGAATGTTATCAAAAACTTGTTATGTATTTTGTGTGTTGTCTATGTGGATGATGTAGATTGTGAGAGGCATGGATCTGTATTTGATGTGGATTCTGTTATGTGGATGTTGTTTTGATATGTTTTCAATTGTTGTTTTTCTACTCCCATAAATGTATTTTAAATTGAATCGGGAGATGAATGGTTGGTGAGGCAAACCCATATACACACAACAAGCAGGTTTTGTTGGGTAATTAAACAAAATGGTTGGTGTTCATGTCACGGCAAGCAGGTTTCATAGGCTACTCATATTTTGGCATTGGGTAATTCAACAAAATGGTTCGTGTCCAATGCTTCATTTACACATTGGGCACACATCTTTTCTGAGTAATACAAAACCTGCTTCATTTACATATTGTAATACAACACTTGCTTGATTTAGACATTGAGCCATAACTACAATTCAATTCAACTGTACCCCAAAAAAATCTAATTGAAAATGTTAAATAAACCCATACATGTTGAAGTCAAACCAACGTTCTCAAATGAAGCCAAACAAAAGCCACAAAATGTATCCAAACGAAATAAAACCAAACTATCTGAAGATTACAAACGAAATTCTTAAAATTACTTGTGCGAAACTAAAAAAAAAAAAGAGCGAATTACACTAATAGTCTTTATAGTTTGGGACTCGTGTCACTTTGGTCCATGACTTTTCAATTATGACACATTTGACCTTGAATTTTGAATCTTATTTAAATAAGAACAATTGAAAATATCATTACTCAATTTCAAGGGTAAAACTGTCAATTTAATAAAATATAAACTAACTTGACAAAAATAAATGTCAAAAAAATATTTTTGAATTTTTAAAAATAATTTCTACCCATCAAAGATAAAATTATGTAAAATTGATAAATCTTTTAGACATTTGTTTATTTATTTTACTAAATTTGGATGATGATTATGTAATAAGTAATTGTCAAGCTTTTAATGTGTAATTGATATATTTAATATATGAAATATTTTTAGTTTTGGATGTTTTGGATTTAATGGACTGTTTTAATAATGATATCAAAGTTGTCTCCATATTTGACTTTTGAAAAAATAAAAACTAATTTAATAAAAATAAAAACAACCATCAA